CGCGAGCAGTAATCTGCCAGGAACGGTGTAAAAACAATGTCGCTGTCACGAATCCGTGAGTCGACGGCGGAGTGATTTCCGTCGCGAATCCGTGAGCATTAATCTGCCAGGAACGGTGTTGAAACAATGTCGAGGTCATGAATCCGGGAGTCGACGGCGGAGTGATTTCTGTCGCAAATCCGCGAGCAGTAATCTGCCAGGAACGGTGTGGAAACAATGTCAATGTCGCGAATCCGTGAGTCGACGGCGGAGTGATTTCCGTCGTGAATCCGCGAGTAGTAATCTGCCAGGAATAGGTGCTTGCGGATCTCTCTTGAAAGCGGATGATCGGAGTCTGATTCTTGAAAGAGCGGTGGATCGGATCTCCTCTGATCTATTAGGTGGTAAACTTAGTTCCTGCGGTTTTTTTGTTTAAAAAACTCATTTATTTCGACATCAAAAGCAAAAAATACATTAATCGAAGTATTTTCCCTCGCTAGCTATACATTTTTCCCATCTTTCGGGCAACGCGTAGATTCCGCGACGATAGAACGATTGGTCTTTTGATGCAATCCATTCGTCGATCCATTTTCGCACATCCTCGTAATTTCTGAAGTGTGTATCCACCAAGCCGTGCTGCATCGACCGGAACAAGTAATAGTCCGAAGGAGCTAAGTCTGGTGAATACGCTGGGTGCGGGAGAACTTCCCACTCGAGCTGCATCAGTGTTTCTTTGACGGCTTTGGCAACGTGTGGTCGAGCGTTGTCGTGCAAAAGCATGACTTTACGTCGATTGCTGGCTACTGCTGGCCTTTTTTCCAACAATGCTTCATTCAGACGGTTTAATTGTGATTGATATCGATCCCCCGTGATACTTTCGTTCGGTCTGAGTAGCTCATAATAAACGACGCCGTGCATATCCCACCAAATGCAAAGCATTGCTTTGTGGCCATGAATATTTCTCTTTGGTGTGGATGTTTTAAGTTGGCCAGGGTCTACCCATGATTTTCTTCGTTTAGGATTATCGAAGTATATCCATTTTTCATCGCCAGTCACTATGCGCCACAAAAAACTCTTCTTTTTCTGCCTGGCGAGCAGAGAAATAGAGATGTTTAAGCGATTCGCAATGGCATTTGCGGTTAATTCGTGTGGTACCCATTTTCCCTCCTTTTGAATTTTTCCCATTGCATGTAGACGTTTGGAAACAGCCATCGGAGTAACATTTAATGCTGCAGACAATTCTTGGAGCGTTTGAGTAGAGTTTTCGTCCAATAATGCCTGCAAATCGGTGTCTTCAAACTTTTTCGGTTGGCCTGAGCGTTCTTTATCATTGACATCAAAATCACCACTCTTAAATCGCTGAAACCATACTTGGCATGTTCTTTCCGATGGAGCATAATTGCCATAAGCTTCGAAAAGCAATTTATGAGCTGCAGCTGCAGTTTTTTTCAAGTCAAAGTAATGAAGCAGCACATGTCGAAAAAACAACTTATCACGTTCCATATTTAATCAAAAGAAAAAATAGCACTGCTCGCTTAAATGAATCTCTTCGCACTGAATTTTATTGACAAATGTCTAACCTCTAAAATGCAGCCAGTTTCAGATGTCAAAATAAATTACCCCTACAACTAACGACATCTAACTGTGAGCCGCAGGAACTAAGTTTACCACCTAATAACAATTTGCGGCATTTTATATTTTGCGAATCACGCTGGATTCGCTGTTTACCGCTAATGTTCGGTAGTATGTTTATCTTTGAAAGATCGCGCTGTCCTCTCTCGTTTTTCCCCCGCTCGCGTTGTTATGCGCTTTATTAAAATCGTCTAGTAACGTTCGCTTATGCGGATCGTTTCTGCCAACTTTATATTATGTTTACAATATTTCGGCGCAGTTTGGCGCAGACAAACTTTTTCTCATTTATTTTTATATATCATTAAATTTTAAATTCTGCAAAAATCATCGCGGAGGCTTATAGCGGGGACTTTGAATGACAATTCTTAATTAAAGTTATATTTTATACAATAGCACTATTTTACTTTACTTAGAAAGCATATATTTATTTTAAATCTATCGACAATTGTATAAATAACGGTGGTATTAGAAGCACAAATAATACAAATAAACATCGATAAAAAGATCTAATGACCTGATATAACGACAATACTGTGAATGGAATCACAATTATTATGACTCCTAAAATCGCGTATAAGAGACTTGTGATTTACATGAACTTTGTGTGCTTATAACTCCCATAAATAGAATTCTTTAACAATATACCTTTACAGAAATCTAGTAAAGACTTAAAACTAACAAAATATAATATAATAATGATTTATTAAAAATGTTGAAAAAATAAGTTTTAGCCACGTTTTTGGCTGTTTTGACCAGTATGCATCGCCCCAAAGATTTTTCCTCATATGACTATTAAAAATAGACATGTATACCCGATGAAAAATTTTTCATGCAAAATTTTGTATGAAATTTGTCCATACATAATTATGTATAATTATATATAATCATATAAAATTATATATAATTATACACAATTATGTATAACAGTATGTATAATTACATATAAATTTATGCGTAATTATGTAAAATTATATATGAATATATATAATTATACATAATTATATATAATAATAATAATATATATAATAATAATATATAATTATATATATAATAATAATAATATATAATAATTATACATAATTATATATAATTATACATAATTATATATAATTATATATAATTATATATATAGTATAAGTAGAATGTATGAACATGAATGGACAAATTTGATACATAATAATATATAATTATATATAATTATATATAATTATATATAATTTTATATAATTTTATATAATTATATATGAAAAATTTTTCATTGGGTAGGTACAAACGAGAGCAGCCCGGCCAATTTTTTCCTCATATGACTATTAAAAATAGACATGTATAGGTTCAAACGAAAGCAGCCCGGCCATGGTCTGATCTTTCTTTTTATACTATATAGTTATGTTATTAGCAATTATATAAATAATAAAAAATTATTAGGAATCAATAATAGCCCAGTACTAGGAATAGATACTTCCCCAGAAAGCTAGGAATCCTCAGGAAGCTAGGAATCAATACTTTTTTAATATTGGTACTGTACTAATTTTCGGTACTGTGACAATACTGTTTTCCGATACTCGCCCTTTCTATCATCCCAGTATCATATCAATACTAAACCCGTACTGACATCTGGTACTACGCCAGTAACGTTTACCATAAATCGATATTGAGCCACTTTAATGCCAGTAATAAATTCCTATTAGGGAATGAATTCAATCGTTACTTTTGTCGTTATTTTAATTACTTTTATTCAACAGATGATGCGCTGGTCGCGCATTGATAGCGTGTATCAAATATTCCTGGTTGGATAGAAATATCTCGATATTCGCTAGAAATACGTGATTTTATCCTATTTTTCATGTAAAAATAATTGTTAGTGCAAAATCGGATTTTATTTAATTGTTGAGAATCATTAATAAATTTAATAATAAGTATGCTTATACTGTAAAAACAGGCGTGTTATCAGATGTGTCAAGACAACACATTCAACTAATTTGATATGTTTACGCAAAATCTGACCGACAATACATATCTCTATACCGACAATAATTTTGTGCGAAAAATAATAAAAAATAAGAAGATAAAATCAAACTCATAAAGAAATATTAGTTCTCCAAGTTAAAATTATTGCAGTTTTAAATGGTTTGTTCTTTTTAGATAAACTAACTGCACTAAAAATAATAATTTAACCTTAAAAACAATAATTTTATTTTAACATCAATTACATATTTTATTTTAGTATTATAAAAAAATATCGAAAATGTAACAAACCTTTACTTTTTTAGTAACGGTAACAGTAACGATAATGAGATTTATATTTTTTAAAATTAGTAACAAGTAACAGTAACAAATTAGTATTTACGGAAAGTGACAGTAACGGTAATGCATTACCTTTTGAAAATAATGTTCCTAACTCTGATTATAATCAGGCAGCACAATGTCTATAATCGAGATATAAGACGTCTTTGAGATATCTTTAAGCCGTCTGAAAGACGTCTTATGTTCCAATATTTTAAAGACAACTTAAGGACGTCTTAAAAATGTCTTATGTTCCGGTTTTGGACATTGATATTATCTGAGCAATTTTATTTGATATTAATTACGCTTCTCTCAGTTCTTTCTTCCCCCTTAACATAACCATTTTACCAAATCAAAATTTTACAAAACTAACATATTAATTTAATTGTTTATCAGGATAAAGCAATATTGTTATGGTTTCAATAAATAACTAATACTCGTTTATACGTATTAAATAAAAAAATTAACTATTGAAAGAATCCCAGGAAACACACATATAACTGATACTTTGTGGTATATAACCATGAAGGATCAAGAAAGTTGCATTGATATGTAACATATGTATATGTATATGATACGTACCCAGCAAGCACACATATAACTAAAATCTCTTATTATATAATTACGAAGGATCAAGAAATGTGCATTGATATGTAACATATATATATGTATATGATACATAAATGCATGTTTATCTGATACATAACCAATCTTATGTGAATGGCACATAAGAAATACGTAACTGTGTCGCTGACTGATATATATCATTAAATATGAAATTATATGTATTAAATGGATAGCTGATACATAGTACATCAAACATGAATTATAGATTGTCTAACAACGTTAGATTATAATCGAAGCTACATGTGAAAAAGTTAATTGACACCAAACTGTGAGTAATATAGCCTACCCAGCAAAAATAAGAGTAATTATTATCTATATGTATCAGCTATTAATGCAACACATGTTATTTCAAACTTAATGATACATATCAGTAAGGGCCTTTGCACGTAGAAAAATTTTAACCGTAATCGTAAGGTCGTAAGAAAACTGACCAATCACAGTCGATTATTCCTCGAATGCAAGGAGAATAATCAACTCTGATTGGTTAGTTTTCTTACGACTTTACGGTTACGGTTAAAATTTTTCTACGTGCAATGGCCTTAAGCGATACAGTTACGTATTTGTTATGTACCATTTCCATAAGATTGGAGATGTAGCAGATAAACATACATTTACATAGCATGTACATATGTTTCATATCGATGCCTTTTTAATATTTTATAGTTATATAATAAGAAGTATTAGTCGTATGTAAGCAAGCTGAATATATTTAATAACATACATTTTCAAGAAAGCCTGCGGAAACATTTTAATGAATAAAAGTAGTTTCTCCGGATTAATGCAACGTTGAGTACAGTTATAATTGAAGTGTAGAGCGTTCGAAAATGTCACCCGAGTGTACCTGCAGCGTTAAGCCAGCGGCACGCGATGCTTGTTTTCGTATTGGATTACTTGCAATTGCTTGTTTTAATTTGTGCATTTCTATCCATCTTCAAAAATTCAGCAATCGGAACAGAGTATTTCTATCCAGCAAGCAATGCAGCACGAAGACAAGCACCGTGTGCCGCTGACTTTAAAGTGAGAGAGATATAAAAATGAAATAAAGAGAGAGGGAAAGCATCCGGATAATGGCCTTTGCACAATGGCAGACAACAGGCAATAGGAATAGAATTGACCAATCACCGGTGATTATTACAAAAATAATCGACTGAGATTGGTCAACTCCTGTTCCCATTGCCTGTTGTCTAGCATTGTGCATAGGGCTTAATATTTTCGAACGCATCTTAGCACTTAAAATTCTTTGGCATATAGCGACCATGTCTTTAGTTAGCACAACTGATTTGAGATTATCAAACTAAAACAACAACAACAACAACGATTTGAGGTATAATACAGGTATTTTATAACGTGTTTATATATATATTAGGACCTTAACTTAGTTTCCGCCCGCAAATGTTAGATGGCAATGCAAACAGTTCTAGTAGTCATTACTAACGAAACAGGTAGTTTGTGATTAATTTCGACATTTCTCGATAACATTCAGTCAGCATACACAATTATTTTCCTAAACAACAATTTCTTTTGCTTTGTGAAAAATGGAACGCGATAAAGTGTTTTTTCGACATGTGCTTTTGCACTATTTTGATTTGAAAAAAA